AGTATTTACACAATCGATAGACACTACTGAACTAATAAACATCTTAAAATAGTTACGTTTTTCAGATATTTTAAGTAGAGATGTATCCTCATCTACACTTTCAAAAGTCGATCGACATTTCTGATTAGAGATATGAAATATTATGTATTGATCAATTCTTTGAAAACTACTGTATTCATTGTGGTTACGTAGAGTTAACATCATTTTCTTTGTTCATTACTTAATCTAATGTAATTTCTAGGCGTACTACTAAAAATAAATTACATAGTAACACGCACGTGAATTTATTCATGTTTCTCTGATTAATGAAAGTATTGGCAAATAGACTAAAATTTCCTACACGCATAGAGTTAACTATCAAGCAAATATATGTTAAAAAAGATATTAGCTCAATCGATACTTTTGTTCTACACGCAAGACTATTTGTTATGTTTCAATTATCAATTGATATGCCGAATAAATTCAGAGCTCAAATACGGATCAAAATATATTTTATTGAAATATCAAAAATAGAATACTATTTTAATAATAGAAAGAGTAGAACTCTGTTCAATAGACGTGAACAACCAAACTAGTCAAGAATATTTATTAGCTCATTGAAATCTATCGATTGAATAAATATTTGTTCGAAAAATGGTTTAATACTTGGAAAGATTTCTTCATAAATTTCTTGCCGTAATTTGAACGATCTTGCATTATTTTTTCAACATAAACTGGTATTTGAACGATACTATGATCCATGGAATGAACTGCTTCAGATAGTTTTCGTTATTTTAAATATTAGTTTCTTTTTTGTTGAGTAGGTTTATGCACTTACACAGTCCACATGATGACCATGTTAATCAATATAATTATTGTATTTTTGAATTTCATAGTTCGAAATATCTTTACTTAGAGTAAATATGATGGAATCAAATAGCTTTCATTTTCATATGTTTAGTACAATTCTATTTTTTCTTTGTATTTAACATATACAAAAATATATCTGATAAATCGAATTTTTATCAGGAGAAAGTAAAATACTGACTTGAATATAAAAAACAAAGTTATTGATTTTCATTAGATTTGCGTAATTATTTTGCACTATGAATAAGTTAAACTATGATTATATTAAGTTTTTTTTCTTCTTACAAATTGATACTCTTTCTATCATGAATATGAAGAGGTAAACAAACAACTACATATTAAGTCTTTCCACAATGAAGACACGAAACTATATGATATCGATCGATCTTATGCTAATGGTATTCACCTCAGGACTTTCTGTGATAATATTCCGTTACTTTTCAATAAACATAATATTTTTAAGTGTGAATATATATATTGTTATTTTACATGAAAGTATTTCATGTAATGCATTTATCTTACGTCTGATGTAATCTTGAAATTAATCTATATTATAGTATTCATCGATATTTTGTTAGTAATACCAACATATTATTTTATGAATATTTATTTTTGAAAAGACAATCACAAATCATCACTTTATAAAATCTCAAGTAACTCAAAAATTTACTTCTTAAGTAACTACGTCAATTGTAATATTATTTTATCCTGTACTTGATGTTTATACGTATATATACATATATATATATATAAATATCTGTCATAGCCGTTGTTGTCCTTCGAGAAAAAAAGAGAAAATCTTTTTCTAGTTGGAATAGATGATGATGATGATGATGTATTTTGCTTTCTTTGTTTCAGATTGGTTATGACAAACATCGTCGTCGATTTTTCTTCTTTTCATTGCTATGCTTTCAATCGATCACTTGCTTTACCCCTCGCCTGCCGGTTTCTTATCTTAACGATGCCGCCATGTATATATGTGTTTGACACTAGTGCGAGCGTAATGTCGGATGTCGCTTGCGTATTCCCTTTTTCTCTCTCTCTCTCTCTCTTTATATATTATATATATATATTTGTGTGTTTCCAAGAGTCATCATCTACCGTTGACGATGACGACAAGTCAACGCTAAGGATAGAGATCACATATCTTTTCTTCTTTTTCAGCTTTTCAGTCGTCCGCCGTGCATACATTGCTATTGCCTGCCAATGTGCGCATTGAATGCAAATTAGGTTAGTAGGTTGCTGAACATTGTGAATGAGTATTTGACGTTGTCGTCATCTTCTCATACAGGCATTTAATTTCTATCCTTTCTTTTGCTCTGTCTTTCTTCATGAACATTTTTATGTGTGCATGTCGTTTTTGACATCATCCGTTGTCAATAAAGAAGGTGAACAAGTAAGAGTGGGAACAAAATTTTTTTCTATATTGACATCGTTGTTCTATACTTGAGTGTTGGTTGTTATTCAGTTTTATGTATCACCATCATTATGCATGTCTTGTAATTTTGTATATATATACATACACATACATACATATATATATATTATATGCGTGTGTGTGCGTGCAAAGTCCAAAATGTAATATAAACGAATGATAGTTGTAGTAGCGGTAGGGTGGAGTAGAAGGGTGATAGAAAGAATATGAAGTAGAGCTATGAATTGTGTGCGCCATCGTTCTCGTCTACAATATGATCGCAGTATATCTCCACTAACGCAAAAACACGCGCGAAAGGTTATTGTTTTCACATCTTGTATCAACGACGACGACTACAGCCAATTCAAGAAAAAAAACGGGTGTATATGTATGTATATATATATATGTTATCTTTTATCATAGTATGTATAAAAACAAAAAATGAGAACGATAGATGGCCATTGTTGAATTTTGTAAACGAATATGAGTATTACTATTGACTGTCTTGAACAAGCAAGCGGTCAATCAACAAAAAAGTTACACCGATCACGAACAAAAAAACTGCGTGTTATTTCTGTAAAAGAAGAAAAGAGAAAGAAGAAGGAAGAATTGCGACGATTTTAGATTCACGATTGATGCAGCTTGGCAAATCATCATCATCAACGACAACAGCATCTCTCTCTCTCTCTCTCTCTTCACTATAATAGCGTGTGCGATCGCTCTTTTTTTTCTCTTTTTCTTTAGTCTGTCTGATTGTTGTTGTGTGTTACTACACGAAAGATGTAGTATGTCTCTCCATAAAAGATATAAATCTGCTTATAAGAGAAACAAAGTAGACGATGATGATGTATGTGTGTATGCGAATGCGCGCGTCGATGAGAGGGAGCAGAAAAAGAGGTACAATGATGCAGCAGCAGCAATAACAGCGAACGGTTTTGTTTAAATACGAAAACCTAAAAATGAGAGCAATAACGACGCGTAAAAAAAGAGAGAGAGAGAGAGAGAGAGCGAGAAGGAAGAGCTATGTGTTCGCCTTTTTTCTTTTTGAGTGTGTTTGTGCTGTCATTCTTTCTCGTCTTCTTATTTTTCAGTGCCACAATACGATCATACACCGACATGGCAAAAGAAATGGTTTGTACACGGAAAATTATTACTATTGCTTGTGACTCGTATGTCATTGATGCTGTTATTAGTTATTTGACTGACTGTCAAATATTGAGAATAAGTAAAAGTATAAGAAAAGAGAATTTGATCGAGTACTATATTGATGCTTGACAAGCCACGTGTACTATTAGAAGTATATGTTTCTGTTTAAAAAAAGAAGAAGAAAAGAAACAAGGCAATGAAAACTGCCAGTAGTCGAAAGACATACACACACATACATATATATATATATATATATATATGCAATGATGTGCTGCTTACTTGTCGATTTGTCTGCTTTATTCGTGCACATATACACAAGGGTACAACACACACGTCAGCATCGAGTGCAAATAGATGAAAAAAATATAGAAACAACTCATTCTCTCTCTTACTCACTCCTTCTTTTTGTTCGATAGTTTTGCCTGCCTTCTCACATCCATCCTTCTTCTTGCTCTTACGATTAGAAGCCACTACTTCTATTACTACAATGACTACCATCACACACATATACTACTCTCTATGATCATTATCATCAACAATAACACAAGCAGTGAACGAGACGAGCGTGCAAGCAAGTTTTTTGTTTCATAGTCAAGAAAAAAGAGGAGAGAATCGCCTTTCTTGACGTTGTTATTGTCGTCGTTTCTATTGCTATTGAGCATTTTACTTGTTCTTGTCTCTGTTGTGTGTGTGTATGGCAGCAGATACTATTTCCGGTTAATCGCAACGGTCGTAGTCGATTTTACCCCTCTTCTTCTTTTCACATATACACTCACACATGTCACTCGTTTTCTTCTTTTATTTTATTGGCAAAAAAAAAAAGAAAAATAAGCAACATTTTTCGCTCTTTATACATACGTATTTATTTTTATTTCTTTCTTTTTTTCTTCTTGTTTCATGTCATAACTCATCTTTTCTTTTGAGTTGTTACATACCTTTCTTCTTTTCTTTTACTCTGTCTTTTTTTCTCATTGTAACTAAACGTTTTCTTTTTTTACCCTGTGTTTTTTTTTCCTCATAAATATATATATATATATATATATATATACAAAATCTATCTTACACACGAGTTAATTCGTCAAACTCCGCCCCATCGAATGTCAATGCATCTTATTTTACTAGTATGAAAGAAACTCTGTTTAGTGATGCTAGAAGAGAAAATCAACACACCCAGGCAGCAAAATCAAATTAAGACGCGCACAAATGGTGTCAGTCTATGTATGCGTATAGAAGAGAAAAGTGTCAATAATGGATGTTGAACGTCGTCGACGCTCGTCGGCGGCAAGCGGGCACAATCTTGTGTATGTGTATTCGTTTTTCTCTCCCTCTCTCTCTCTACTCTTCTCATGCCACCATCACTGACCGATGAAAGAGACAGCATAAAGAGAGAGAGAGAGAGAGAGAGAATAATGTATATGCTTCTTATTTCTAGATGTGATGTTCACACAATGATGCTGTGTGCAACAACAACAGAAGAAGAAGAAGAAAGATTCATCTTCCATTCCCGGTGGTCGTGTGTATTGTATGTGCACTTCATGTTCATTTTTTTTTTGATCAGCAATAACAAACGACCATGAGCAATAGCAAAGAAACGATGACAAAAAAGCAACAAGATGACCTTGCTTCAACTTTAAATAGTATGGCTTCTTTCTTTTCATGAGAATCGTTGTTGTTTCTTTTTTTTTAACTTCTCATTACATAATAATATTTTACAGATCTCCCTTGGGGTCTCCCATTGGGTTTTCCATCGATGTCGTCATTTGGTGTATTTCCACCATTTGGTTTACCCACACCAAATTTTCCATCATTGAACAGTTATACTTCTTCATCAACAACTGGTTTTCCTCCTCCTCCACCACCACCTCCACTACTATCAAATGATCCTACAAATTCAACAACAACAACAACAACTGATATTTGGTCAAATGGTTTATCAACGGCAAATATGAATATTGATTATAATGAATATGCTAAACAATTAGGTTTACTTATGAATGCATTTAGTAAACAACCTGAAACTGATAAATCGAAAAGTAAAAATTTTATATTTCTATACCAACTATTATTTATTAACTTAAATTTTTTTTTTTATAGCTTCATCATCAATAATGAAATCTTCAAAATCAAAATCAATAACTTCTATTAGTAATACTCCATCATCATCTGATATTAATAATGATAAAACATCAATAATAAAACAAAACGATGAATCTCATCCTCGTCCTACATCTACATCATCATCATCAACATCTTCTCGTCGTTCATCATCAAATCATTTAAATAAATCATCATCATCATCATCACGTTCTAAAACAAATCGAAATTCAACAAATTTAACATCATCAACTAATAATACTTCAACTATACTTGATCCATTAACATTTGCAACTACAAATACTAATACAACTAGTGGTTTTACATTTCCTTATTTTCTTCCATCATTACTTTCACCAACAACAAATTCATCATCAACAACAACAACAACAACATCAAATAATAACTCATCAACAACTTATCCATTTTCAAGTTTATCATCATCATTAATTAATCCAGCTACAACATTTTATCCATTTTTATCACCTGATTGGTTTACATCATCAACAAAATTTATGGATACATTTAATAATTTAAATTCGGATAAATCAATAGGTAATTTTGTATATTCATTTAAATTTTTTTTTTTTTTTTTTTTTTTTACAAATTTTTTTATTTTTTAGATTCAAAAGAATCAACTTCACATCAAACAGTAAATATAACAAAACAAAAAAAATAAATATTTTTCTTTCATTTGTTTTTTATTTTTATTCAAGTCTAAATCAAAACAATCACAAAAACATATATCATCTGAAAATAAACATTTACCATCAATCAATCCTTTACTTAATGAATCAATTTCGAAAGTATATGAAAAAAAAAGAGAATTAATCTATCAAGTATTATTTCTTTTTCTTTGTATTCTAGTCAAAAAAACGAGCTAAATCAATTCGTGCATTAACTGAAGAACAAGAATTAAATCGTGAAAAAATTTCTTCAAAAAATCAAACACAAAAAACAATAACAACAAATCCAAGTCTTCTTCATTCAGCATTAGTAAGTTTTTTTTTTTCTTTTGCAAAAACATTTTTCTCTCTTACTACACTTAATAATATATACTTCTAATCAAAGATGAAATCATCACATGATGTTGTTGTATCACCTTCGATAACATCATTTTCATCAACAATTGATTCAAATTTTAAACCAATTTTATTTGATAATTCATTTTATAATCAACAATCACATGATTCATGGACATTTAAACCTATTAAAGAGACAGCAATTGATGATGTGAGATTTTATTGTCGTCTATTTGTCTTATTGTTATTATTATGATTTTATTTAAAGCGAAAACTTAGAAATAAATAATATTTTATTTTTATATTTAGATTGATCCATCAAATACGAATGATTTACGTGAAAATTTATTAAATTTAAGTCGTCGAAGTAGTATTAATGAAACATCATCAAATCGTCAAACACCATTAACACAATCAGCAGATGAATCAAGATCAAATGATGATGGTAAGAAAAAGAATAAAATTTTTCATTTCATTAATTTCAAAAAAAATGATAATATATTTCAGATGATTCAGATCCAAATCCAAAACGACGTAAAGGTGAAGAAGTTAATGAAACACTTGCACGAATACCATTAAATCGCGGGTATGAATTATTGATTTTATAGAAAATAAATTCATTTTGTTTTATTCAGCTGGAAACGTGTTACAATCATTCGAGCTATAACACGAACTGGTGTACGTGGTGATGTTTCCTATTATGCACCATGTGGAAGAAAATTACGTTCATTTCAAGAAATAGATCGAGTAAATTAATATAAATAAAGAACGAAATAAGATTTATTTTCTTTTGGATTTGTTTTTCTAATTTAGTATTTATCAAAAAAGAATATAACCGATTTAGATCGTTCACATTTTACATTCAGTTCAAAAGTACATATTGGTCATTTTCATGAACCAAAAGAAGGTCCAGATGGAAAAGTAAATTCGATTGCCTTATGTTTTCTTTTTGTTTTTTGTTTTCAATAAGAAATTGATTTTTTTTAGACAATCTTTCAAGAATCAACAGAAGATGAAATAATTAATCGTATATTAGAAATCAATCCTAAATTTCGTCGTATGAAATATGAATATGAAAGTGAAACACCAACAAAAACTTCAAATGTTTCAAGTCCATCAGTAACACCAAGTCATAATAATGGTATAAATGATCATCATCATCAACCACAAGATTTTATTCAACAAATGTATGAAGAAAATCGAAAACTTCGTTTAGAACAAGAAGGTTTGTTTGATTTAGATATTTAGAATAAAAAAAAACATGTATATTTCTATTTTTAAAAAATAGAAATAGCTAAACGAGCAGCTGAAATAAAAACAAATCGTGAAGCAATGCGTTTATTACGTAATATAACAAGTGAAAGTTCAAAAACATCTGAACGTTTAACAAATTCTCAATATCAACATAATGATTTTCTTAAAGCTATTATTGAACAACAAAAATTAATGCAACAACAAGAACTTGAACATAAACAAAAATTACAACAAGAACAACAAGTATGAGGATTCAACGTGTTTTTAAAAAAACCAAGGTTTTGATTATTATATATCATGTATAGATATGAGCAGGATCAGTCATTGTTAGTCTCAGGATCGAGATCATGTTGCTCATATCTATTTAGAAATCATAAGTTGAGACAACATGACATTCAACGCAAGATTTATATGATCATAAAAGATATCGCTCCCCTTGGAAAGGTATTAGTCTTGGTCTCGCGAGGATCGGAATTATTTTGCCCGTGTCTAACTATGAGTTTGTACGTTATAAAACTGATGTTCATCTTTTCGAACTTTCAACTTACCACTTCGGAAGAGAAAACCTGAGTAAAACACTATTTGATTTAATACTGTATGAAAAATCGCAAAAGATTAAAGTGAATATGTTTTTATTTATATTTTTGTTAGGAACAAGAACGTAAACGACAAGAATTAGCTTATTTAAAACAACTTGAATTAAAAAAACGTCAAGAAGAAAAACTTCTTTTAATTGAACAACGTAAAGCAGAAAAAAATGCACAACGTGAAAAGAAAATAGTAAGTTCATAAATAATTTATATTTAATTAAATATATTATTATTTTTATTTTAGCAAGAGAAATATATGGAAATAGTACTTGCAAAAGAAATGAAAAGAATTACTGAAGATATGCAATTACGAGATCTTAAAGTAGAAGATTCTTATTTATATTTTCTAGAAAAACAAAAAAATTTTTTTTAGCCACTTCCAATATTAAAACCGGTAGAAAATATGCGTTTATCAATTGAAGCATTTGCTAATTCATTAATGATAATTCAATTTTTAAATAATTTCAAACATATTTTTCATATTCGTATGTTGAAAAAGAAAATTTTCTAAATATTATTTTAGAAAACAAAAAAGAATATATATATATATATATATACATTTATTTTTAGCTGATAATTTAATTCTAACATTAAATAATTTTCAACAATCATCATCATCACGTGAAGTAAATTCTCTTTGTCAAATTTTACTTAGTGTTGCATTAGAAGATCCTGGTATTGCAAATCCAAAAAAAGGTTTAACTAATCTTGGACAAAAATTATCTGAAATCGATATAACGGAACATACATTCAGTGAAATTCTTCGTTTATATATTCGAGAACGAAATGGATTTGATGATAAAGTAAAAACAAAAAAAAAAGAAATACATAATCTATTCGTTTATGGTTTTTTTTTATTATTCTAAATAGATCACACAAAATTTGTCAGATACATCATTTCAATCATTATCAATTGATGAAAAAATTGAAATCTTAGCATTTTTATGTAATGATTTATCGGGAAATAAACGTCTAGTAGAGTAAGTTAGATTTGATTGTTGTTGTTTTTTTTGAATTTTTATTTATTATAGAGAAGTTGATCGTAATCTTGATGAATTAACTGTTTTAAAGCATGAAAAATTAGAAATTGAAAAACGATTACGTCGTTTAAAATTTGAAAAATCAAATAATTCAAATAGTAATAATATTAAAAAATTAGCAACACTAATACGGGAAAAAGATTTGAACAGTTCAGATAATGAAAGTCCAGATGAAAGTGATACTGGTATGTATTTTCTTCTTTTTTATAAAATACGATCTAAAAGGAGCATTGAAATTTATAGAGTAGACACTCTCTTACAGATCATAATAGATGGTAGCCAGAGATCATCACTTTTTGTTATTGTAGTTCTGAAAGATTAAGTAAAAGGATGATGAAGAAATGTATCCTAAAATAAGTAGAATAAATTAATCTTCCAATGATTAGTAAGAGTAACTACATTGTATTTAACATTTTTCTTTTCAAAATTAATTCTATTTAACAAAACCAAAACCACAATTTTTTGTAGAAACTATGAAAAATGATGATGAGACAACAATTACAACTGATCCAGCAGCAATAACAGCTGATGATCAAGATATTGAAACAATTGATGAATCAAAAATTGATGATTTAGATAAACGTTTAACACTTATTACACGAAAATATACACTTATTAAACGTCGTGTTATTGATAAACATGGTTGTACACGTGCACTTCATCTTGGACAAGATCGTTATCGTCGTCGTTATTGGTATTTTTCACATTTACCAGGAATTTATATTGAAGGTTTAACATCAGGTGATATATCACCGAATGATATAAAAGATAGTGTAGAAAATGCAACAAAACAAAAACATGATAAAACTGAAGAATTAAATTCTTTATCACGTTCAACACAACGTAAAAAACAACAAACAAGAATTACAAATTTAACACCACCACCATCAGTACCAATTAATTCTATTGAACAACAAGTACCATTAATTGAATTAAATAAAATTAAAAATGAAATTACTGATAATGATGAAGAACAACAACAAGAACAACAAGAACAACATGAACAAATAAATTCTTCAAATAATATTCCTGAAGATTTTTCAACTATGGATTTATCAGCATTTTGTCTAGCTGCTAAAAGAGATAATAATGAAGAAAAAAATGAACCGAGTGATGATTTAAATATTAATGATAATAATAATAATAATAATAAACGTAATTTAAATGAAATAAATAATAATCATGATGATAATCTTCCACTTGATTTATCATGTTCAAAATCTAAACGTTTATGTGAAGAAGATTATTGGACATCACAACATACACAAGCTGCATATCCATTATTATCAAATATAAATAAATATGATCAATTTCAAGAACTTGATAATCTTGCTACAACAGCTATTTTATTAAATAATATAAAACAAGAAAATATTATATCAAAAAATATTCTTAATTTAACAAATACAAATCAAATAATAACACCATGTAATTTATCAACATCAACTAAACAAGAATCATCAACAAATAATTATAAACAAATTGAACAAAGTATAAGAGAAAAATTTCAATATTCACAACCATTACCTATTCCAGATGGTAAATATTTTATCAATAGAAATAATTTCATTTTTATTTTTTATTCGGAGAACAACAAAACAAAAATCTAATATTAGCTTGTCAAATAAGATAAGATTTTCAAAGAAATTTAGAAACAAATAATCTTTAGATGATTGATCACATGTCACAAGTAGACATAAGTTCAAATGAACGAGTTCTTAACATGCAATCAAAGATTTATTGTGAAACTTTTCTTAGATTGTATAATATAAAAGAACTCATCAGTGCAACTCCCTTTGGGGCTAAAATATGAAACTCACATGTGTTGTTTAATAGAAAATATGTTGAGTGAAAAAAATCTGTTGTCGACTCTAGTTTGTCTTGTCCCTATTCATTCATTGTTTTTCAATTTAACATTATGATTATTATTCTAACCATTGATTAAACTAGCAAATGAATCTGTTGTATATATCCTTTATATCTACAGTAGATTTCAACTATCTCAATAAGTTTTGAAATTATTCATCTAAGTTATAGTTTGATCAGTCGACACTTTTTTATCTTGATCATATAATGACTATGGCGAAGCAATGCATTGCTACTCATCATGCTTGGCATGGGCAAAAATAAAAAAAAATTACACTATTTAGAACCTATTCTGGTCATTCGAGGAAAGTCTACGTCTTGTTATTAACGTCATTCAGCACCTTTTCCCGTCTTCTAAGGAACTCTAAGAAAGGAGTCTGACACCTGTTGTCCTCGATTGTTCTTGGAACATATCCAATGATTGCTGGCCTTTCTTTTTCTCTGGTTGTTTATCAAAACGTATTCATTGACCTTTAACTCCCGTTGCTGTAAGAGGAAAATATATTTTTCATCATGAGTTCTATAGTAAATGTATTTCATTCTCATTCATATTCGAAGTAATGATATGCATAGATATTGAAAGAATAACTTTAACAAAAGTCATATACTATTAGTTTTATATAGTAGAATAAAAATATGTCTTTTCTTTTTTAAATTAGATGTTCAATCTGGTTGGTGGTCTATTCAAACATCCGAAGAATTACGTAGTTTAATAAAATCTTTAGCTAAACGTGGTCAACGTGAACGATATCTTTGTCGAATGCTTCAACGTTATTTTGATGTAATAATAAATTCTATGAAATTATATTCACAATCTAATATAAAAATTGAAAGTCTATCACCATCAACTGAAAATAAAATCGAAAATAATAATCATGATGAACAACAACAACAACAACAACAACAATTATCATCAGATGATACAATCGAAAATAATGATTCAATTTATAATGATACACATGAAATGGATGTTTTAAATGAAATTTATAATTTATTAGATCGTATTATTGCATCAAGTCTTCAATGTCGTTCTTATGATATAAATTTCTCACGTAAACGTTTAACATATTCGGATATTCAAGCTAAAGGTTCAGATATTCTTGATGAAGGTAAACATTTATTAACTGAAATTGAACGTAATATTGAACGACGTTATTTAAAACATCCATTTGTTCGTAAATATGAAATGAATTTATCACCATTAAATCGTATAAATCAAAATAGTACATATCATCATACATCGGAAATAACAACAAATGAAATTGTTTCATCATCAAAATATGATGAAGTACCACAACAACTTGAGCGTTGGAGACGTACTGTTAATGAATGTCGTACATCAGCACAATTAGCATTATGTTTAACACAATTAGAACGTTGTATTGCATGGGAACGATCAATAATGAGAGTTTATTGTGAAATATGTAATTCAGATGATAATGAAGAAAAATTATTATTATGTGATGGATGTGATCATGGTACACATACATATTGTTTTATACCACCAATGTCATTTATACCACCAAATGATTGGTATGAATATAAAAGAAGATTTTTATTTTTGAAAACAAAAATTTTGTGATATTTTTTTTTTGTTTTGCTTCTTTCATTTAGGTATTGTTATGTTTGTATTGGTAAAGTAAAAGGTGAAAATTTATGTTTTGTTTGTGGTAATAAAAGTGATAATCAATTAAATCGATGTGAACATTGTGGAAAATTATTTCATGAAGATTGTTTAAAAAATGCTAAACAACAACGTGGAAAATGGTTATGTGGTTTATGTGCAGCTAATGATACAAATTCTTCTAATAATGGAAATACAATAACAACAATAACAAAATCTGTAAGATATATTATTAATTCTAACATAAATATCTTTAGGAATATTATTTGCATTTTCCACTTGAGGATTCATACGACCTTCAATTGATAAAATAAACAAGTAGTTGTTAGGTTTGTTTATTATAGATATGTCTCTATAGAGAAAAGTCTTGATTACAAGAAGAATAAATAGAAAAATAGTTAGTTTGAATTATATTTATCTTGATGTTCTCGATTTTCGACGGCGATTGAAATTATGCAACAATATTCAATAATTACAAGAGATGTGTGGGAACAAGTTTTTCAGATTCTGATCTGGAGAAAACTATTTCAAAGTTTTTTCGTATGAAAAATCTTATAATGATTTATAAGAGAATTCGCTTACAGTCATAGATTATTAAGCTATAATCTTTAGTTTCAGCGAGAACAACTTCTCTTTCTCGTAGTTTTGGTTCCAACAAGCTTTCAAATTTTGGTCGTGCACATCTCTAGTATTCACCTATGAGTTGCTCTATCATAAGAAGAGCAATGATGTTTATCAGTATACTATACTAAGTATTCCCAATGTATACCTAAAAGGACACGGTTTGATAAGTTGTTATAAATGCATAACATTACAATGAGTCTTACTAAAGTCTGGACGAGCCTCGGATAGTAAACAACCGTTCACATGTACTTCTAGATGGTTTATTTACATAAATAAATGTTAAGCATAATCGATGGATATTTAGAAGATGAGCTGTTTCATATAACATTATATACTTATAACAGTATGATGAAACTATCTCAAAACTTTTCGGATCCGATCGAACTGTACTTTGATATTCTCAATGAAATTTTCTAATCGGCATTGAATAGTCGTCCTGAAGATACGAGATGCTTTTCTCCTGTCTTTTGTATTCGGCGACATGTACACCCTACACATTTCTCAGACAACTACAACTCATCAGGTTCAAAATTTTCAGATCCGAGATCAACCCGATAGGCTCTTATCCCAAATGATCATGCCACAATTAAAATAATTTTTGTCTCTTTCAGCAAACGGGACGTCAAACATCTCGTTCATTAAATTCACGTCAACCAACAAATAATTCTCTCGTGACAAATACAAATGGTGATTCAACAAATCAATCATTATCATCATCAACAACAACAACAACAACAACAACAAATACAAATCGTAATAGATCAAATAGTAATCGAAAATCGAAATCAAATATTAATGAATGTTCAATATTACAAGAATCTCCTTCAAATTCTTCTCATGCTGATACAACAATAATGAGTACTCTGAATGATTCATCATCAAATGATATGGATGATGATATAGCATCACCAATAATGACTACAACAATGAATAATAATAATAATAATAATAATAATAATAATAATACAAAGAAAAAATCTTCAAAAAAATCTAAAACAAATAATGATATAAAAGCTTGCAGGTAACAAAAAATACAAAATGATTAACAATCAAAAAAATTATTTTATTTTATTTTTTTTGAAGAACTATTTTAAATGATTTATTAAAAAGTGATGTATCATGGCCATTTCAAAATCCAGTTGATGCTAAACAACATCCAGAATATTATGAATGTATTAAAAATCCAATGGATTTTTCAACAATAAAAAAGAAAATGCGTAATAATCAATATACAAAACGTGAAGAATTTTTACATGATGTTGAATTAATATTAAATAATTGTGAATATTTTAATGAAGATGATAGTCCAGTTGGACAAGCTGGACATTTATTACGAACATTTTTTCAATCACAATGGACGAAGCAATTCGGTTAGATTTTCTTTTTTTTTGTTTATGTGCCATTGTAAATACGAGAAAAAGAAAAGAACGTTTATATTGAATCTCTTTTGTTCTTTTTGTTTTGTTTTGTTTTGTTTTCTTGTCTCTGACTAGAATGAAAAAAAAATATTCGAAAAAAAAAACGATTATTGTATTGTATATCTCAGATAAAAACTTATTATTATACGCGCTTTTTTCTTGTTTTTCTACCTTGAGGTCAAGTAAACCAATCAATGATGATGTCTTTTCTTTCGTTTTTTTTTTGGTTTTCTATCATTATACAGTATATTGTTTTGTATATCATCATCTATGCGGTCAGATCGTTGGTGTTTTATTTGTATGTGTGCATGTGTGTGCGTGTGCGTGTGTGTCTAGTTGAAAAACAAATAATAATTATTATGTGGTGGACATATGACGAAATGAATATATATACATATATATATATATATATATAATTGTTTATTGTATTATTTAATAAGTAATATAATGACGTTCGATTTGAATTAAAATTAATATTTATATCATATGAAAAAAAGAAAAGTATTGAATTTTTGCTATTATTTGATTTATACTTTTTGCTGAATCATGTATTGTATTAGTATGATCTATTAGAAGAATGTATCGAATTGATGAAATAGGTAGACAAGAAAAATGCCGAAGAGGAAAAAGCAGATAAAGTCTAAATATCGAGGGTGGTTAATATGATTGAATAAAATAATTCTTTTCGTTAACATTATAAAAAAAGTTTTATTTTTGACTTTTTCGTTTGTTTCTGTTTTTCCCATTTGGCATCTTCAATTTCTCTATTTTTTCTCTATGTCATTTTTCTGTTGTTTTTGTCGACATTTTTCATCAAATCTGAATGTATTAGCTGAAAATATATCGATACTAGATAAGAAAGACAAAGATGATAAAGTTTATTAGTATAAAAAAGCGAACAAAATATATTCTTCATATTGTATGATATTTTTGTTAAATTTAAATTACTATTCTTGAGTTTTACTGATTTCTTCTAATGAAATTATGTGTATATCTGTATTATTTTTGATGATAGTAAATAGATTAACCTTTTACGTCCTGGCACTAATTCAGTAGAGTTACTGTTAAGTCAATCATGGAAATGGTTTATGCAGATGCTGTTTATGACATTGATATAGTTAAACTTGAGTAAAGGCATTTCACTGTGGACATGCAAAATGGGTCATAAAATGATTTCATTGGTGTTTAGAATAATACAAAAATTGCATTTATTGTTAATTTTATTTTATTTTCGCAGTCACTTTATCTATATAAAGCAGGAAACCTACTTATGACGAATTATTTTTAGAAAAATAAGCCATTTCGGGTGATAATATATGGTTAAACACTTGCAGAGTTGTCATAACTGAGTAGTTGCATAGTTTAACACATATCCACAAAGTACTGTGTTCAAACCTTGGTACCATCAACTGTGAAATGATCGTGACCAAATTACTAACAGGTGTTTGTCTTGAATCATTCATCCGAACACATGGTGACCACGTTGTAACACACACCTGCTCATGTGATTAGTTAGTATATATGAAAAGCTCAAGTTATTGAGCAAAAGAGCTCTGCGTCAGAGTGATCTTTTGTCCAGAGTTACGTTAGTTGTAGAGAAGATATCGATCTATCGAATATGAATAAATAAAAAATGCTCGAACAGGAGGTAAGTGGTTAATATAAGTATGATATATAGAGAGAGGTTTTCATTGATTCGTGTATCAAAACATTGTTTACAAATTCATTTAAACAATCAAATGTATATGCTAGTCTCTTGTTGTGAATGAGAATTCAAGTCGGTTTTTTAGTTCGAATATTGCAAATAAACTTCAGCTAATAAAAGTTTTTTAGACTTAGTTGTTATATCAATGAGTATATTCGGAAGATGAACAATGTACTATGAGAATTCCATATTAGTTCCGATTTCGAAAACTTTTTAAAAGTTCTTTAGATCGAAATAGTTGATCTGAATTTATGAGCTTGAACTGTCACAGATTTGTTTATCTTATCCTAGTACATCTGACCTAATGAAATAAGAGCATGTATTTTAGTAATATTAGTTTATCGAAGTTGTTTACTGATCAAAATAAGTACTGATATAGACTTATAAATTGAATAATGGCTTTATCTATTTTGAATGAGGAATGCGACAAGTGAATGTGATCAAGTGATTAAATCTTCTGATGTGAAATAATGACTTTAATCCATCATGTTTACTTCAATTTTTCTGCTCGATAAGTGTAAAACTTTACTCCATTCTTTACAATGAATATGAAATAAAAAGTTTTGATCTATGTCAAATAGATTTAAAAATTCATAGATATTATTCATTTAAACTCTTGCACCTACAAATGATGTTGTCAACTATTAACAATGTGAGCAAGTTTATAAAAAAATTATGAGCGTTGAGTATATATCAACGAACTTGCAATAACAAACGATTTTCAGATCTATTAGATGGTTCTGTAACGAAAAGCATTCCTCATCGCATTATATTAACAACAATACAAGAAATTACTACTTCACAGCAAAATGCAAAATAGTGGAATTACTAATTAAAATATAACAGAAATGATTATGTATGTCCAAATAAAAGTTTTGATAAACTATTAAAATCACAATGCATGCGCTAAAATCATGACTGAAAGAATAAGATCTGAATTTATGTTACTATGTTTTATGCTGACTGTCACTGAAACTAGATCTGTTTATGATCTAGAGATGACAAGCTGATAAACAATGTAGTAATCTTTTTCTCAGAGTTATGTCTCTCTTGGTTTATATGATCGAAAAGTATTGTACTGGTTTCATGATTTATTTTTGTGTCTCTTGATGTATTGTCGTCTATTCTTGTCTTTTTAAATTTTATTTTATTAAATAAAGTAATCTGTTAGATCTTCATATTCATAAAAGCAATGACATGCTGAATAGAAAAAAAATATATATCGGATTATTTTTCATGCTCCATAATACAAGTAATATTTCTACGTTCAACTTCAATTAAACGAAATAATTGAGCTTGTTTTCTATTATTTGTACATGAACATAATTGTGAATTTTGATTGTTAACATAATAATAACCAGTTGATAAACGTGATTGAAAAATAATAGTTGAATTTGTTTTAATACATGTTGATTTATTATCAATTTGAATTATTTTTAAATATCGATTAACATGTTCTTTTCCATATTTCAGTCGTAAGAATTTTTCATCTGATAAATAAAATTCAGGTCTATTACCATCAATTAATAAAATATATTGTTCAGATCTTAAACATCGATGTCGACGTGGTGTACCATTATTTGTTAGAATAAATAAAGAACCCGTTTCATTTGTTGATGTTCCAATTTGTAATTCACGATCAACAATAATAACTGGTAAATTTGTATCAACAGTTATTAGTTTAACATATGTTAAAACACCTGATGGTCTATATGACCATTGTTGTTTACTTTGATTAAAAAAACCAATAACTGGATAATGATCAGACAATTCTAATAAAGGAATATTACGTGTATCATAAAATAAATGATTTTCACCAAGTAAACGCCATTGCTTAGATGCCATTCGATCTGTTATAAGATTATACCAAAACATAGATTTTGGTGTATGATTTTTATGTATTAAAACATAATCTAATAATTGGCTACCATGTCTTGGATTAGTCATTGCATTAAATGAACTATCCCAACTACATGATATACTTGATGAATATAAATATTGTTCATGAACATTTAATATTTCAAGCATTTTTTCATATTGTTTTCTATTATATTTATTTACATTTAAATCACCAAGTATAAAAACAAATTCATTAGAAGAAATATTTCTTAATTGAAGAAAATTATTTAATTCATACATTTGTTTTTCACGTATTTTATCTTCACCATATAAAAAACAACCACGATAATCATTTGGTTGTAAATGTGTTCCAAATACATGTATAGGATATTTATATTTACCATATAAAATTTTAGCATAAACAAAACCAGTTCGAACAAAATTATGTGCACTACATGTATGTTTATAAAAATATTGTACAGCATAAATAATTGGCCATTTACTTAAAATTGTTACACCACCACTAATAAGTTTTAATGGACTAGAATTTATATGATCATTCCATATTTCATTCCATTCATTTTTACCATCTTCATCACCAAGTATTGGTGTACTATAAGGATATGTTTCACTTAATGCATTAAGTAATATTTCACGTGGTTTTATTTGAAAAACTTCTTGTAAACAAAGTATATCAGTTGAACGAAGAAATTTTGCTTTAGTTAATAAATGAGCACGAGTTATTTGATCACGTTCAAATACAAGTACACTTGGTAAAAGCATAACATTATAACTCATTAATGTTATTTGATAATGATCATCATTAGATTGACAATTACCGATTAGAATAAGAAGTAGAAACAATCGTTTCATCTTTGAAAATGAAACAAACATGAAATGAAAAGAAAAGAAAAAAAACAACAACAACTGATCTTTTTTCTTATCATTTAACATTCTTAAAACAAAATGTTAAATTCGATAATATAAGAATGTCAACAATTTTGTTTTCGTATCATAGTTATATTAAATTATTATTATTATTATTATACTTTTTACATTATTATTAATCATAGACAAGTTATATAAATATATAAAAAAGTTTATATATTTCGTTTTTATGGCTTTGAATTTCTAATTGTAAACTTTGATAATTAAGTACAAGTGCATTACGATGTGCAGTTATGAATTGTATGTTACTTGTTGTTCGCTTTTCGTATTCAATATGTATATCTTAATAATAATTGCTAACATGTCGTTTGATTTAAGCCGGATTATTATATGGGTTTGGTCAACCAATGACCATTCGAGGAATGAATTCTTTAAATGACTAATCATACAGATAAGTGAAGGCGGCGGCTTATCATCACCTTTTAATTTGATGAATCATAACCGAAATGAGAACGGATACAAGTGAGAGATCATCGAAATGGAGTTCGCCCATCTGAATGGCATACGAAAAATAAATACCTTTGTTAATTTAATAGATGAATGTGTTCTTATATATTGATGTACTTGATATTGGTTATAAGTGTTCATTTACTTAGGTTAATCAAACGTTCTGATAATATTAAATAAAAAGAGATTTTTTTTCTTTTATTTTATTAAATGTTCAAAATAGTTGTCATAATTATTTATAATTACAAAGTTTTATTCTTTCTAATAATTTGTCAAATGTTTTTTTTTAGACTCTTCTCCTAGAATATTTTAATATATCTTGAAAACCGCATGAACCAATGAGTTTTCATTTGTCTGGTTAATTAAATTACGCTTGATAAAATCATTTAGCTAAAAATCATTAGGTGCCAGGTCTGATGGAAACGGTGGATACGACATTAAATAATTACTAACATTTGGATGAGTATGAGGTTGAGCATTGTCACGGAGTAATTTTATATCTTTTGTACCTGACGACGATTTTCTTTGTGTCCATACTTTATTGATAACAGGGTTGAGATAATTTTCAATATAATAGCTGTGGTCTATAGTTTCGTCCTTAATCTACATTTTGAATACGAACAGGACCATTTGATTTATAGAATGTAGAAAATAAAGATTTTAGTTCAAATCTATTTCGGCAAACAAATATCGTTCGTGATTCACCTTTACTAATCCAGCTTGAATTAATTGACTTGTGTCCAACCTGTCTACGATAAATCGATGTCTCATTATTTATAATAATATTACATAATCAACTTAAACCATCATGAATTTTCGCCAAATTTTCATGATAAATTCGAAATCTTTCTTGCTTTTGTTCATCATTGAATTGATGAGACACCCAATTTCATGTAACGTTTCTCGTCTTTAGACAATTGTGGATAATTGGTTTTATTATACCATAACAGAGAGAAAAATTTCAACTATGATATCATCATAAGTTGAATATGGATCATTGTTGATAGCCTATCGTACCAATTTCATATTTACATCTGCTAGCTCGTAAACTGAATGAATAGATCGAAGGTCATCATTGGCATCTTTTCTTCCTTCATGAAAACGCTTTGTCTCAGCAAAGTCCGAATATCCAGCAAATCAGATATCTATACAGTTGGGTATCCCTCTCATTACAACAAATTCACTCAAAATCGTTAGTTTAGCGGCATATGGATACCGCGAACTCATTAAGTGAATATCTGATTAGTTATGTTTTGAATTTCGATACCCGAATTATGGGTGTTATGACATTCTTTCTTAAATGTTAACTGGTTTATAACATTGTGAGCAACGTTACCAGATCGTTTGGTTAGATCTAAGCATTACTCATTTTATTTTATCGAATAAAAACCTAGCTCTAATTATTGAAACTTCAGAAAAAAAATAATAACTAATTTTAATTTGAAATGATCTAAATTTTTAGCTATCATACTTTATCAATCAGTTCAATGTCATAAACCTATTTGACTGATAAGATGATTATGATAAATATTTTTTATGTTTCAAATGTGATTTATCTTATATCTTAATGAATATTTAATCAGATAAAAAAAAAAAAATTTTCTTTTGAGCATAGTATCATTGCCAATGTTATAGATTATAATTAATAGATGTCATTTAAAACGATCCGCTGCATGCACTCTTGAATATTTTACGACAAAAAAAAAGCAAAAAAAGTCAAATACTCTGACCTTTACTGACAGAACTAAATAGTCTAAAACGTTTTATTACTTAAACTTCGATCGGTTTTATGACAAAGTATTATGTAAATAGTTTGAATCGGATAAAAAAAAAAAGAAACCACTTTCATTAAACTTCATCTCATTTAAAAATATTTTACCATTCATCTAATATGATAATAATAGCAATTCATAATAATTGTAGTTCTCAACTAATATACATTTATATCTAAGAACTGTTGATAATTTCTTTTAAAAATTCTTCACTGAAAATAATAAAAACTTTAACTTTTTTATTTTTTTGGTAAACTTTTCAAATTAATACTCAGTAAATGGTCAAGTTCAATTGAGAAATGAATACAATTGTCAATGAACAAGCTTAAATATAAACCCAATTATCGAATAAAATCGTATTTATATTCAAAATCACATATATCTATCTGTATAATCACTACTAATCTAAATAAAAAAGAACAGATTCCTGTCTAAGCCAATACATATTATCTTATGGTTAAAATAAAACACAGCAATCATTTGAATAATAATCCCGTTGTTGTCACCTAGTTATTTATACGCGTGTACAAACACATTCCTACGTTGATATATCATCACGTATTCAATCTTTCATTTTCGATTAAGTGTGCACATCAAATATATCATCCATTTCTTTTTTTTTTTGTTCAACTTTATAGCGTACTCTCCATCATCACGCTTCCTGACTTAAACTTACAAAAAAAAAAAGAAGAGAAGAAGTTACGCAAGGCTCATCACACATTTGACCGGATACTTATAGCGTTCGTATGTATATATGCATGTGTTTACATCATCTTAATGTATATATATAGCTCTATCACTTCTATTCGTCTTCACGTAAAAAAAGAAACGTGAAAAAAAAAAAAGCACAACCGAACATTATTACAGATGTGATGAATTTTTAATAGACCGATAGAATACAAAAAAACACTTATTTCGACGAAATATGTTTGCTACTGCTGATTGTACAACTCATTATCCAGAACAGACAATATATGATAGTGAATGGACTGAAAATACACGCACTGGAATATCATGGTTTAATTTATTAACATCACAACCAATTCCGGAAGAAACTGATAGTATTCATGATACTTGTACTCCTGTACAAAGTAATCGACAAAGTAGTTGTTCATCATCATCATCAATAGAAAGTTGTTATGTTGTTCTTGAAATTCAACGAAATCGTTCAGTTGAAGAAATACCAAATCAGGTTGAAAAAGAAGAAGAAGAAGAAGAAGGAGAAGATGAAGACGAAGACGAAGACGAAGACGAAGACGAAGTACAAGAAACAGAAGAAGCTGAAGAAGAACAAGTACAAAAAGTAGAAGAAGAAGAAAAAGAAGAAGAAGAAGAAGAAGAAATAGAAGAAGAAATAGAAGAATTAAATTTTGCTCAAACAATTAGCGATGATAATCATAATGTATACTATGATCAATTTGCTATACCAATGATAACAGAGGTAAATTTAATCAAATAGAATCACCTGAGAGAAGTCTCACAACTGATCAATCGCTATTGAGTTGGGACTATATGCATCATGTAGATTCCAGTCAGTTTTGAATATCCTGAAAAGAGTTCAAGTTCTTAGTTTATTGCTCCGTAGATACTGCAAATTTTTACAATAGTTTTTAAATGAATGCCGTAGTTCTCCTCAGAAAAACTATTTTTTAAATTTTGACTTGAAACTTTGTACAGAGACAATTTGTAAGAGTTTCAAGTCTTTTGATTTCTTCTATCTCCAGATAAGAATATCGAACACCCCGCTTTGTATGAGCAATGTAAAAGATACACTTTTACAATAGCTAGCTCTTAACATAGGAACAATGGCACATTCAAATCGTGTAAAATTTTTAGGATACGTTAAGAATGTAGTAAAGAGACTATGCTGAAATGTTCAGCTTTATACTATGTCGTTTTTGAGAGATATTCAATAAATAAAGATCGAAAATAATTCATTTTGCAACTCAAAATTCTTACTTTTTAAGAAGAAGAAAAGTTCATATCTCGAAAAGTGGCGCTCTAATTATAATAGTATTCTTTTATATAATAGTAACAAACTTTAATTCAAAAAAAAGGAGACTCCGTCATGCCTTACATCTTGATATGCTCTTTTAAACAAAAAAGAAATCCCTTGGCTACAATGAAGCTTCTTCGAGAATTCTAGGATGCACAATCAAAAAAGAGTTTCTACTTTGTCCGAAAACACCATATTTTTCAAGCAGAAAACAATGGAAATTTTTGAGAAAAAACCAAGACGTCAAATAAAAACTTATGTCATTTATAAAAGATCAGACCTTGGGCTATCTTCCCATGCACTTATCTCATTTTTCGTATGTTTCACGAAAATTGACTTTTTTTAGAGGTGTAGATATTTAAAGACTGTCTCTGTGCAAAGTTTCAAGTCAAAATTCAAAAAAAGAACACTTTTCCTGAGAGGACTATGACATTCATTTAAAAGCTATTGTAAATTTGCAATAAGTCAACGATTCAAACTCTTTTCAAGATATTCAAAACTCATTTTGATTCACATAATGCACATAGTTCTAGGACAAAAAAAAAAGCAATGTTTTCTCTTTATTTAGAAACCTAAGGAAGAATATATTGTTAAATATAAACAAGAAAAATTTATTCCTGTTGAAGAATATGCTACAGTAAATGAACCTGTTATACACGAAATATCAACTGATATGCTTTTTGATAAAGCTAAAACATTGAGTAAATTTACTAAACGAATAAAAGCAATGTCTTATGCATCAATAAAAGAACAACAACATTATTCACCATCATCCGATGATGAATCAATGAATATAACAAAACTTAAAACAATACGAAAAGTAAATGAATATCATCCAATGGCTATTCCAACTGTAACATCTGAACAACAATCAAATATACAATATTCAAATTCATCATATTATTCAACAACAAGTCTTGATTCAATTGAAAATAAATCATTATCATCATCACCAATTTCAAAACGAATTACAACAACATTTTCTAACTTATCATCTCAACGTACATCAAATTCAACTCAAATTCAACGAATAGGTCCAACAATGGGTACAACAACATTAACACGTACATTTGCATTTGATCGTGTTTGTATGGAAAAATATGGTCGAGAACAAGAACAAGAAAACAAATTCATTGAAACTCCACTTAGATCAAATACTGAAAGTAGTATTAAAAAAAGAATAGACTTATCAAACAAAAAAAAAGAACAAACGTATGTATACATTAGAATTTAAAAGAAAAGAAGAGAAAGAGAACATATCTAATTTGATTATTTGCTTGAAAATATTTTTCAGTGAACAACTTTCACGTTCTAACAATACACTTAATCGTTATTCATGTATTGATACAATTCCAGCATCATTCTATATCGATAATGAATTAAGTGCAATAGAGGATTCAGAATTTGAACATCATTCAACAGTTCCTTCTTCAATACCTATGTCAAATAGTCAATCAAAAGCATCATCTATTTTATGTTTAATGAAAAAATATGCTCGAACAGTTAAATCTGATTATCGTTTAACACATAATAAAAGTAATGGTAATCTATCATCAGAACCAACATTACTTCAAGTAAAATATCTTGATGGTAGAGTTCCATTAAATGATAATCAAGCTCGAGAATCAGTTCGAAAAAATTCAAAATTATCTGATTCAATAGCTAATCGACTTAATCGACTTAGTTTACATAATATGTCTTCAACACAAGATTTATCATCAACATCAACAACATTTTATGCGTCATATCGAAAACGAGTGTTGAATCGTTTTCGTTCTTTTGTAGAAAATAATTTCAATGAACCGCCATCATCACCATCATCATCAGTACCGCAATCAAGACCATGGCAACATAAAACAATTAGCGAACTTCTTAGTGAAAAAAAATATACAGTTAATCGTCATTGATGAAAAAGACCAAAAAAAGAAGAAATATATACTATATTAATTTAAGTTTTATTTAATAATAAATAGATAGATGGTTATTATGGACATATATATGTTAAAAAGAAAAGAATTTACATTCATATGCTATTCAATATTGTCGAAATCGATCGATAATGGTTGTCAATAATATCATAAGAGTTTGGTTAGTATTATCATAATAAAGAATGATGATCTTCATATTTTTCCGATAATTTCTCTAATTTTCATAGATTCAGACTGAACTTTCTTGTTTCAAAAGACTCAACGTTTAATTCTGTACAAAATCAGATACAAATGAATGTCATAGGAATAAAAGTTTAAAAAATGATTGTAGTAATATTAGAAACCTGCAACATCAATAACTTTCAAGCGCAAAATATAGTTCTCTTGTATTTATGTGTTCTCACGTCGAACTACATAGACAATTTGTACTATCTATGTTGTAGAACTTCAACAGGTTTTATCTTATTAATATGTTCAAGAGTTTTGATAACGAAACCTTATTGAATAAAATAAGCGTTACTTTCCTTGTCGAATTAAAGAATGCGTTGTTTTTTTATTTGAAATAAATAACATTTATTTAGTCTTTGTTTTATGCAATAAGGTTTCGGTTTAAAGATTCTTGAACATAATAATAAGATAGACTTTTTGAACTTCTACAAAATAGATAGTACAAATTGTCTATATAGTTCAATATGGAAACACAAACTACTGTATTGTGTGTTTAGAATTTGTTGATGTTGTATGTCTGCAGTATTACTATAGTAACTATGTTGTTTGCTTTTATCTTTATGACATCGAATTGTATACAGTTTTGTAGAGAATCAAATAGTGAATCTTTTCAAAAAAAGTTCAGTTCGAATCGATGAAAACTAGAGACGATATTCAGAAAATATGGAAAACTTCATTTTTCTTAGATCGTCTGTTATTTGTATCATGATAATGAAAATTTTTCTTTTCAATTGAATCAATCTATGGAAATTAAAGATTAGATATATTTCGTAATTTAACAAAACATAAATAAATAATTACTTTGTCACTACTATTTAAAATGATGAATGAATGATTATTAAAATTATTTTTGATGATACAATATCATCATCTATTTTTAATTTGACTACTCGGAATTTATTCTGAAATTGAAATTGATAAGTTCGGATCTGAGCTGTTCAAACAATTTTTTTTTGTTCTGTTTTTGAGAAAAGCACTTTCAGGTAAAAAAAAATCTTTGTTCTGTTACTGAAGTGCCGTTCTCAAAATAAAACAAAATGTACTGGACAGCTCAATTTCAAGAGCTGAACTGTTGAAATAGATTAGTTATTATTAGAGGAACTGTTTGAACAAATTTTTCGCTCATTTGATCTGAACTTTGAACTGGGATCTAATCGACTTCTTTTTTTGAGTGCACTTAATTCTTTATTACTTCTTGATTGTTTGATTGTTTATAGTGAAATTAAATGAAGAATGTGATGTTTTATCTACATAATAGAGTATACCTTCATACAAAAAAAAAATATAATGATCGAATTGACTTGATGTAAAATATTCTTTGCCATCTTCTAACAAGACAAGTTTTTTATCAAAAATAAAAGTTCATTTCGAACTGAAAATTGTTTTTTTTTTTTTTTTTGATTTCATAAAAGGATCTCCACTGTGACAATGTAGAATTGTTCATTATTAATAAACTCAACATTAGAAAAAAAAAGATAACTATATACCATATTTGATTTCATATTCAGTTCATGTCATTTTATCAGGACATTGAACAAAGGTCAAAAGAATGCCAAAGGCAACTAAAATGAAGATTGATGATAATGTGATTGGAGATTGTAAGGTAAATAATATGTTTTGTGCACAATAGTATAGAAAATAGAAATTCATTGTGTTGTATAGATCGTTGACAAACAAAGCAACTTAAAGATATCAAGACAAATAGATATAATCTGATGTTGACCATTACTTTAACGAAAAAAGTCATCACAATATACTCCAAAATGACATGAATACAGAAGAGATCTATGATAAGTACTTGATGTATCCTTATCGAAGCGAGATTATCGATTGATGAATGCAATGACAGATATAACCGACGAAAAGAATCAACAGTAAATTATACTAATTCTTCTTTATGTAAATAGATAATATAAGTGTATGAAATTAAATCAAATATCGACTTGATTCAAAAAATCTATTTTAAATTACAAATATCATCACATTGTCTTTGTGAAACATGATCTAAAACGAGTTTTGAAGTATAGAAGGGTAGAAAATTGGATTCATGAGCCATGACAGATGTTGTTTATATACGATCATAAATCGTATATCAATAGCATGTCTTGTTATAATAAATAAACTACTTCCTAATTACATTTAAATGATGATGAAAAAATATGTTTTAAAATAGATAGAATAAAAATAATCTTTCTGTAATTAGTAACAGAAACTTCATCGTATTTCACATATTAATCTCACAAGGATTGCATTAACAATTTTTGTTTTTTTTTTCATTTTTAAGACAAATTGTTTTAATTGTGAAGTTTCTTTCTGAAAAATATTTGATAATAAAAATAAATTGATCATATTACAAAAGTTACAAAAATATCTTTGAAACATTATACAACTGACTAGACATGTTCATTATCATCAATACTGATCAGTATAAAGAAAAAAGAAAACAAATGATATTCATCCATGGGCATAAATCTTTTTTGTTTCCCATTCACAATGCACATTTGATAATTCACAGTAGTAAAACCTTGATATAAATAGCATATGACAACTCGAAAGAAAACATATGGTGAATGAAAAGAATTTAGCCTCAAGGCGTGTTAATGAAGTATCACTGAGTATATCGTAATTTTTTGCACGTGTATTATATCAACGCATAATAGATGTTTTTTTTTAAACGTGAAAATAATCGATTCCTTTTTTAACTGGATTACAAATAATTAGATTCATCATAAATAGAGATTAGTCTGAGTCTCGTATCAAAACAGATTCCTTTTTTTTTGAATGATGAAAAATATATCAAGGCAAAAAGAAATTAAGCTCAGTGAATGATTAAAAATATTTCATATATTAACAATCTAACGGTAATTCATTTTCCGGTCTGGTTCATCTTTTTCATTATTAATGTAGAAAAGGAAATTAATTATTTCGCTATTTTATAACGAAGAAGATTAGCATATTCATTAAAAAAATACAACAATAAATAAATACATATATATAATTCTATTGTATTATTTTAATATAAATACATCAGTATATTAAGAATATTCTTCTCGAAAGATGTCATCTATACTTATAATTAGTCACAATATCCACATGATCAAAGCATGCCCTCAAAATCCTTCAATTGTGATTAATTATTAATCATGTTTTAAAATTTAATGTCATATGAGATAAATATCAAATATTCACACAATGCATCATGTTTGATTACATATTCGATAAGCAATATTTTGTCAAGAATGTTACCTTTTTTTCTCTTTCTAATGTAATTTCGGATGAATATTCATATATACCAGAAAAGAAGAAAAAACATGACAACAACACAACGAAATTTTGTGTATATGTTTTGTGTAGTGACAGAAAAAAGTTAAATATAAACAACATTATAGATATAACGACTACATTATGTGAGTGAAACATAACACAGTAAAGAAAAAAGAAGACTAACTGTCTTCAATAGGTTTATTAAATGACTATTTACGAGCTTTTTTATGATGTACATTGCCAGTCATATTTGGCGTTGATAAAATATTTTCTGTTATAGATCGTTGTCGATTTGTTTCACTTTGAATAATTGTTGTAGATGGTATTAAATATTGAACAGCTGAGACAGATGAATCACTTAGTGTTTTTCCTCGATAAGATGTTGGTTCAAGTAAATTTGTAAATTTACTAGAATTAATTATCGGAGGTGTATGTATGTGTTCGAAATCATTAGATTTTTTTCTATTTGATTTTGAACGTGATGTTTTACGTTTATGATCATCTAGTTCATTTGAACTATTATCATCTTTGATTTTTATTTCATTGGATTTCTATAAAAAGAAAAAAAGAGAATTAAAATATTCAATTAGGAAAAAAAAATAAAGTAAAATAAAATATTTACATCAATTAAATCTATTTCAGATGTTTTAGGTGTTTCATTAATTCTTTCTTGTAATGCTAAATTTTGTTTTATATAGTCCATTAAAGCTAAATGAGCAAATAAATATTGATCTTCTGTTTGTACACTACCAGCACGTTCTGTTCTCATTTTAAGTACTGTTGATGGTATATCAATCATTTTCTTTTCTAAATATCGTTTTATTCCAATATCAATTGCACAAAATGTTCCTGTACGTCCAATACCAGCTGAACAATGAAGTAATATTGGTCCTTTAGTTGTTGTTATTTGTCGATAATATTCAACTTTATCAAGAAATAATAAAGCATCTTTTGTATTTGATGGTATACCATGATCAGGCCATTTAAGATAATGTGCATGATAAATAATACGAATTTCAGGATGATTTTTTTTTCTTAATAATAATGTTGTTATAATAAAACTTTCAAAATTTTCTGATCTTTCATTTTGTATTTGATATAGACCAGTATTAATTATTTCTTTTGATTGCATTGGCCAATATGGAAAACATTTCATTGTACCTGATTCACGAATATTTGTTGTCATAACAATAATTGTTATATTTTCTTGCCAAACCATACGCCAAAAATCTTTCACTGTTGTTTGAAGTGGTCCTAAAAATAAAAAATTTAGAATACAAAAAAAAAATCCAAAAATAAACTTTTCAATTATACCTTGAGTAAAAATATAAGCTTTTTCTTGATTATTATGTCCAGTAACATAATTAGCATTAATAAAATCATTTATTTCATCATCATCATCAGGTTGAAGTTTAACACGAGTTGATTCACCTGGTAAAACATCTCGATAGCGAGATTTATCAAGATTTCGCTCTTCTCTATAAAAA